TTAGCGCACATGGGTAAGAAGGTCAGCAGCGCACAGACACACATATCAATACATAAGAGTCGGACCGGACGACCTCTGTGGCAAGGTGAGTGGTGGGTACGGATAAGCAAAACAACTGGAGGTCAAAAGTACATAGGCGGAATAAGCTAATGAATGGGGGAATTAATCATAAGGTCAAGTTAGGTTCAACATTCTGACACTTTTTTGACCTGCGTTATTTCGCCAGGACGGTAGGCCATGGGTGAGTGACGTTCATTTATGTGAGATGAGCAGCTGAAGTTAAGTCCTCCGATTTCTCTGGATCATGCTTTACCGTCAATGAGGCAATGTTTTAGTGACGTTCTTAGTGATCTGTGAACAACTCTACTTCAACACCTTGCCTCATATTACTAAGCGAACATGCTCACCGCAGTCTATTATGCTGCCTATCCCATTGATTGCGACACTGGAATTATTAAGGTCGCGACAGATGTTCCCTTTTCCTGTTGGTGTCCATCACGTATACGAGTAGACAAGGTATATTCACAGAAGACCCTGTATCCATAAATTTAGTTTCTGTTTCACAAAGCCCGAAATTTAAAATAATAACATCAAGTGGGCTGCAAATGAACACGCTTCCTGCTTGAAAAGTGTAGTATGATCTTGTCCATCCGGCTCCACTCAGTGGCTTAGGCAACAAGAAGACAGACCAGAATTTATTACAAGTCGTAAATAAAAGGAATAGCAATAAAAAGATCGACAGTAGCAAGGTTACCTAACGGACCAATGGAACGAAACAAGACAGATCAGGATGCAGTACAGATGGCAGTCGAACCAATAAAACCACATGAGAGATGACTGTCAGGTTGCACGACAAGTTTAGGGTTGGAACAACATAATCAGAAGCTAAACGAGAGAAAAACCCACCAAACCGCGCACTGACAATGTCTCTTGTAATGGCGACGAAGCGTTCACAAGCCAGTCGTTGTTTCAGCGAAAATAGCAGCATCCACCTCACCAACTCTCACCCAACGTCCTGAGTTGGGAAGACTTCCTGTGAATATGTCTTAAATGACATGCAGTATCATTTTTGATCACTATATGTATTTCATTCACTATGCACTGTACTTTCACTCTTGGCCTCCGTACTGAGTGAGTAAGTGAATGGCACTCAGCATATATACGGCTACTAGCAGTTTGCACATGTATGCCCATAGCCGCTCACTGGATGCTGCACAGATGTATTTAGAACTTTCACCTAAAGTGCTGACCCAACGGCACCTAAGGATGCGTACAATATATCGGAAAGTAAGATCTAGATTCTCCCAGAGTTGAAAAGTTTTTCACCAAAAGAGAGTTTTTAAGGACGGTTAAGGAAGTCGTCTAAAACTGTTGACCAGTTGAATCGATCAGTCTGGTCAGTCACCCAATCATGGGCGTCTAAAAGCGATTAACTCTCAACATGAACGTCAACCAAAATCCAAGTTCATGAATAATCCCACGATTTTTCCATTTGTGGTTTTTCACTAAGTGGCTTTTGTTTTTTCTCTTACGTTTCAACTAACAACAAAACCAAGAAGCATTCTATAAATATGTTGAAATTATTTGATTGAAGAGAGCCGTGCAGAGAATTTTCGACGAATTTATGAGCATGTAAATGTCAAGCCGTTTAAAACCGATTAAAGCATTGTTCATGTTAGACAGAAGCACTTAAATGCAAGCAGTTGCATCCAACCAACTGAATCCGACCGCACATCTTGACACCTACTGAAATATGGTATTACAGGGCTTCTAAAGTGCGTGTGCAATGCAATCACTGGCCGATCCAGCTACAGGCTGATGGTGGTCTTACCATGTGTAACTCACTGAAGTGAACAGTTTACAGGCTCATCTATGACCGTTACCCATCATAAAAGGAAAAAAGAGAGCCTGGAAACTTTGTGAGTGTTGAGCAGATTTTGTCGGGTCCTGTTGATCCTATCCAGGGAACGCTGCTTGGACTGTGAACATGAAAAATAGACGATCGGATCCTGCCTCACTAAATGCAGGGATCTAACAAATTGCTTTCCTAGGGCTGAAAGTCTATGTCACTTTTTCTTTACTTTCCAGATAACTTTTGAGCCGCTTGAAACCGACAACTTGAAATATTTTCCTTTCACTCACTAGATTGGCACTGGACGGATCCGACTTTGATTAATAAGGCGGTCGCCATCCAGCGGTGTCGTATTATTGTTCTGTATAAGTATATGCGAGGAGCCCACTTGCCGTTGCGTTGCATCTAAATACGCAGAACGAACCAGTGCACATCATACCACGTGACCGAACACATAAATCCGTACTTTGTTGGACAAGTGACAGCTAGTCAGACAAGGCTGGAGAGCCCTAGTATTTCCATCGCTCTGGTAGCTGCTACTAACCAGCCATAAATTAGCTTGATCCAGAAGACTTTTCCTGTGTGCTGTTGTCTAAATTTACAACAGCGACCTACCAGTGAGACCTTGTTCATTGGTCAGCAGTTACGCACACTAATTTATGCAACACATCATCTGGCTACCGTCGATATGATTACCTGTATTTTTTTCTCATTTTAGCCTAATTTTCTGGCGCACATTTTTTGACAAAATCATCATGATCTACTTGGCATGACATACTATAGATGCTTTCTGTTGCATTCTGTTTAGTTGGATGACCTAGACCGAAATTCCAGTGATCTGTTTTCACTGTACTAGAAACGGTTGCAAAAACGTGATTTTGTACTGATGCATACACCACCTACTTACTCTCTTTTAGGCTGCACACAGTACTCCGCTTGGTTGATTTCATTTGACGCAGAATGTCCAATGATAAACCAGCTTCGTTTCGAATTCTGATTGGTGGATCCTATTATCTAATTGAAAGCAATGGGGTAAATACCGTGGTACTAGACAAAGCACACTTGTACGATGGGGAATTCCATCGAAGTTTTGCTGCATTCAGGTCAAATGCGCTTTCATAAACCACAAAAATAAATGTGATTACCTCAACTTCATATATATGGATCAGCAGAATTCCACATTATTTCATGACTTAGAACAAAGTTATGTGATGCAGATTGGCGGATTATGCCTAAAAATCTATGCCAGTCTTCTGTTATTGGTGGGCATACCTGCGAACATAATTTGCGGCATAATAATGGGAGGAAATCGCTCTAACCGGATGACAACCCGCTTTCTAATGATCGTGTTGTCTATTGCCGATTCTGCCGTTCTTCTGGTTGCTGTGCTGCGATATTGGACAATGCGTGTTCTCAAGTGGGATCCACGCCTGATCGGTCCCACCGCGTGTAAGTTGCACACGTTTTCAGTGGGATGCAGTACAGACTATGCCGTCGGTGCGTTATGCGCACTTGCCGTAGAAAGGCTTCTGGTGGTTGCTTTCCCACACAAAGCAAACAGTATTGTGAACATGTGTTCTGTCACTTTCGGAATGGGTGGTTTTGGTCTCCTGGTGGTTGCAAAAAATATGCTAATTTTCTGGCTGGTTGGATCAACAAAACCTGGTATCAGTGATAAAACCAATATGAGCTTACCAATACGAATCGGTACCTCCGATTGTACGCCATTACCAGAGTATCGACAAATTTTCAAAATATTCACCAAAGTGGACCTTGTGAGCTTTGCTGTGCTGCCGTATATTATTTTGTTCTCCAGTAACTTATTCATTTACGTCAAGTTACGGAACCAGCAAGCTTTGCTTCGGCGAGCCAAACCAAAATCACCATTGTCCAGGCTGAGGCAGTCAATCCGAGAAGAGGGCCAACATCCGGTTCGAAATGAACCGTTGTCGAGTGATGGGAAGGCAATTACCAATACAAATCGTCTTCAGTCCATTATTTCTCGATCGGGCACAGACAAACGCACCAAGCGGAGACCAGATGGTGTGATCAAACTGCTGACAGCACTTACACTGATACATGTGATCTGCACACTCCCTGGAACTTTGTTCACATTTATTACTTCGTATCCAAAAAATCTAGTCTCCATCCGAAAAGACGTGGAAGAATTATTAAAGTCTGGCCTTGTTATGTTAGTGTTTACCAATAACGCAATAAATTTCTTCGGATATTACGCATCGAGCACGGCATTTCGAGAGAGCTTCTGTGGCATGTTTAGGTGCGATTGGCATAAGTCCGTATGTCAGCAGCGTCTGTTCAATCACTGCGGATGCCGATGTGTGAAACACAAACAAATTTCCGGATCGGAATTTGTCCAGTTGGTTGTGACTCCCCCTGGTGTAAAGGTGGCTTCGACAAGGCCAACAGAACGGGAACGGAATGTGGCCAACAGTCAAGGTTCTCTAAAGGAATCACCCCAAAGAATAATTGACGCCAAGGTTGACAGTTTCCAGGAATAACAGCTGTCCGTCTTTCCATGATCGTACTTTTGTTTTTCATTATTTATTTATTTAAGTATTTTTATGTGGTCTGGACGCTAGTGTTTTTCTCACCAGTAAGGCAGATTTATCAAATCGTTAGGGAATAGTTGAGGGATTATTGAGACAACATCAAGTTAGGCCAACGTGTAATCACTTTGGAGAATCCACCAGTTATCATATGGAAGCCAGACGATCAGTGAGTGAGGGGAGGAGTCAACCAATCAGTCGACCACTTAAATCTGAATTAAATCTCGAAACCATGTGTTAAAAATCTGGGACGAGTTGGATAGTTGTTTCATTTATCTCGTGGCTTTCATGAGTTAACTTCTGCGGGGACTGTAGCTCATAGTTCTTCTGAGGGGAGTTCAGAACGCTAACATTTAGCTACAGGTAGCTGGGCAACAGTTTGAGTAGCATGCACCCAAGATGTAGCTCGCTAAAACTAAAATCAAGTATTTTTCTCTAAACGTTTCCTGAGACTGCTTTAGCTGGTCCTCCGTCTGGCGGACTGAGACAGGTTTCAGGATGAATTTGAAGTTTCATTCCTGTAAAAAGTAGAAAACGGTGATTCGGAAAATGTGCAGTACAGACGAACCCAAGCAAGGATCAAATAGTTCTTCGAAACCTGCTAGCTTTATTTACAGAATGAGATGTAGACATGAAATCTTAAAAGTGTTTCGAAGTTTAACTCAACCAGTTGTAAGTCCCAAAAAAGTGTTAGAAATATGCTGCCACATGGTAAATTTACTGTCTCAGAATAATGGCATCCAAAATTAAATGGTTCCAATTTTTGTTGCGTAGTCACATGGTGATTTTAATGGAGTGAGGTGACTGATATTGCGTGCGCTGGCTCGTTTTATTTGGACGTTGAACAGCTCTGCAGTAGTGCCTTGTTCACAGAACTAATGTAAAGATCACGATCCTTCACATTTCCATCTGTTTAACTCACGCAGTCATTTCAGCTCTATCCTGTCCGAAATCACTAAAACCATTTTTACTCACGACTCCAACAACGCAAATATCCGAGTGTTCACAGTCAACCCAGATTATATTTAGTCCTGACCCGTAAGATTGCTATTGATGATATAAGGGTTAACCCCGGGCCTTGCAACCACATTTCTATCAATACTAAACCCTTATCACGGTAAAGTGTCTACGGCCCAATTGACCTCCAAAAAATCGTGTTGTGAATAGTTGTATTTGGAACATGCACATATCCCTTCCGTTGTTCTATGCAAGCGACGGTTCATTCCTCAAGCTCCAGTAAAGCAATAGCGTAATGTATATGCGTAATGTATAATAGTTTGGTCACGAACGAACGTTGCCAGTGTACTTACGGAGGAGTGACTTTCCCTCATTTCCGAATGAAGTCAGTGACTGGGCTGCCTCGGTTTGCTCTGAAAGATTATCTTAATACAAACAACCAAATTACCCGCAGGCAACAGTCAGTTTGTTGGATCAAAATAGTCGCTCAACCTCCTGGTGATCACAGCTCTAACTAAACTTCACGTAATCATGCAAATAAAAGCCAGGCAGTTCCCTTTTGGTTTCCAAATTCATGTACATAAACGTATGTATTACTGTACAATGGTTTATAGCAGCAATCTCTGAATGACTGGCAGCGCGAACCAGAGGCATTTACACTATATAAAACCAATGAATCGACTGGAAAAACAGCTGAAGATCTGATCTTTTTTGTCATATAAGCGACCCTAGTATCTACAAATGTTGGACGGGAGTTTAACCAACAACATGCAATCTAATTGATCACTCTTACCGCCCCTCCCTGTCATAAAACCTCGATGCAATATGATACCGTACACGAACTTAAACACCGGCGATTGACCCTGTCCAAAACGTCTAGTCCTCTGGATCACAGTCTGGGATATTTACAGTTGCGTAATCATGTAAGAAGAATTTTCGTCATAGGCACTTGGTTTTGTGTCACTTTTTTGAGATGTTTTGTCTTATTCTCAAGGCAATTCTTTGGTTTCGCTTTTTGGTGATGAAATTCAAATTTCTCTATGCAATATTGCAGGATGCCTGAAAACGAGTGCAAGCCCCTACCGCTGCTTTTGGTACTATCCATTATGAGGGATGGGGTAAATAACACCCAATTTTGTTCCTCTGTGACAACTGAGGAAACATTTTGCTTGCACTTGATGGTCCATTCGTAGTGCCTCGAGGCCAGAACGATAGGCAGGTAAAATATTATCCAGAATCTACCCGATTTTTCCCCTTCCTTGAAACACTGGAAGAGGCTTCCGAAAGATCGACAAATATGCGTTTTTTATTAAGTTCACTGCAAATCATAACGGCCTCACGTGGCGTATGGGTGTTGAATTGCTGAAAATCAAGAGCAACCCCTTAAAAATGATTTTTAGTCCATTCTCTACGGAACCAGTCAACGAAGGCCTTTTAGGGTAGAGCATAGGTCCGAATCATCCCAAAGTCAGAAGTCGACTTAACAGATAAACTCACCGTTTAATCGTGCGCACCAGCTACTCGCTGTTCTATTAACTAAATTAGATTGTTTGTCCCACAAGAAGATGATGTTAGGTGGAGTGAAATAGAAGTGATTCTTTAAACACCATCGGTTCCTAAATTGATCAGACGATTTTTGACTACTGAACTCGTGGAAGCATCCACTGGTATATTTGTTAAGTACGGTTTAAATTCATGGTCAGTGGAATTGTGAACTCGACAATCACTGTCGATTTAAACTGAATGAGATCGGACGTTCCATCACTGTTCACAATGATTGCTTGGGAATGGCAAGCTCTGAGAAGAGAGGAGTGAACCATTAAATGCGTCATGCGTTGCAATTTGTCGTTTTCAATGCAGTCGATGACTGGCGCCTTCTTAAGCTGGGATTCAGACTGTACATAAGTTTAAAGTCTAGCTCAGCGGGATACCTAGTTTCAAAAGAGCTCTCGCGCTGACCACGGTCCTGACTGATGTTTGATTTTTCTAGGGTCGTAAGGTTGTCAAGTAGGTGAGTACTATGAACGTTTATATGACTTAGGAACCCACAGCTTTGGATTCATAAGGCCGTTACGTGTTCCGAAAATGTGCCACTTGTTGGTAAGTGAAGTTCCCTTCGGGCCTTAACTTCTCGGGGTTTAGGTGAGCTAATCATTCTCTGGGACTCAGGTTACGCGCTTTGGCCAATCTGTTCGTGTTTTGTGTCAGTTAAAAAGACATGATCACGCTCTCTTACAACATTCAAGTTGTGATTTCCTTTTCATGGTGCTAAAGACATTTTTGACCCAGGAATAAAAGGTTCTGTTTGTGTTTAAGTCTCACAGTTTCTAAAGTGCTTTAAAATGGACAAATGTCCAAATAGTTACGCAGTGCTTGATAATAATTCCAGCTTGTCCAGGTCTGAAAGTGAGGTGTCGGGATTTTCGAAATAGGGGCCATTGGGGCATCTTCCGACAGCGAATTCGCATTCACGTGTTTTTTAAGATATTAGGAGTAGCCTATAAGCTACAACTGTTATTTTCGGCTTTTAACGACTACGAATCGTCGCATTTTTACATACGCCCTACTGTAAACGCGTTCTCTCGTTTTGTTTGGCAGCCCACAAATCGGTTTAGAGTTTGAAAAATCGCTAGGCATATCCCAAAATTGGTTTGTAGACCACAACTCTCTTTGCTGACATTCCTGTACACATTTCCAATCGAAATTTACTTTTCGATAAATCATGAAGCTTAGTTTTCCGTTTGGCAACATGGCTCGGCGGAAAACGAAACGTCCCCGAACGCGTGGTGTCCCTTCCTCGGGTGTTCCGTTTCCAAATGTCCAACAGCAATCAGCAAACGTCACCAGAAATTACTAGACGCAGTGAAGTGGAAAGACGGGAACTAGGTTCGATGCGCTTGTACGTCACCACAAAAGAAGTTGGCTAGGCAGCTTACCAATGTTTGACATCCAGATCGCATCACTCACATTTAAGTGGTTTTAGTAACATCGTTTAATACAATACTTAAAGCAGGCGTCGTTTAAATAAAGAACTTGGTTTTATTCGTGCTCCACGCATCGTCTAAACGAACTACACTGGTTCTTTCAAATTGCCTACTAGTACGCTGGATGAGGTCCACTGGAAAAAATATTTAATCGCAGATGAAATAGCGATAATGCGTTTGCTTCGTGGTATCACCGGAGTGGATGAGGTTTGGTGTGTACCGAATTTTAACAAGCAGGCTAATCCGGTTTCAACATAGCGGCGATGTTCTAGCAACTCAACCATTTAGCCGTTCGTGAAGCAAAGTAGTGGGAGGATACGACATAAGATTAAAAAGTTAGCAGTAAATGCTCGTCTAAGAAGGGTTTTTACCCTAGCAGACTGTAACTAATGGCTCATTACCAATTTATGCGAGAAATCTACATAAGCAGATGAGCAAAACAGTCCAAATGATCATGTGACCGGATTAAGGGGCTGCTCTGCCAAATGAGTATTAACTTCCAGGCTGTTTTAAGGACCTACACTACGATGATCTATTTGCGCACACAAGATTTATACCAAAATTAGGATTGTAAGGGAATCAGGAACAGTTTTATTGTGCCTTCAGGGGAGATGTTTATCAGGACTATTGTTGCATGGGTGTGAGGAGTAGCTTCTGCGAGCAACCATATGTGCAACAACCCTGCCTCCTGTAGACTGGTGCCCGCGAATCAGTATGGAAACCTTTGAAAAACGGGTGTTTGGGTGTGCACTAGAGGCTTCAGTGAAAGGATGTGTCCAGTACGAAAATTTTTCCTGGAGAGTTCGTGTATTGCGCATAGCGAATCATGGTCCGCCGAGATTTCCATTTCCCATGTCTACCTCAAGGGGGTACAAGTAGAGAGGTGGCAACTTTTGACCACCCAGGGGTGCGTGGAATAGATTACGAAAAGTTTGGTTTCACAAAGGGTCGTATGGAGGGTCCGCATGATTCTAATATGTACGGCTGGCGAGCTGTTAATCAGTGTCACTGGTGCTCTACTTATCATTGTTGTATACAGATATTTTGCTGATAGTGACCATGATGATGACGGTATTGTGCCCCTCAGTCCACTTTCTCAGCGTTTGCCTATTAATAATAAGATGACGTTGAATCAGTCCCTAATAAGCAAACCTTATGCTCAATAAACTGCTGTCGACCTGTGGTATCGGTTCGCTACATACAGTATCTGCGGTGAACTGAGGTCATA